CTAGGACAGTGATGGTGAACCTTTTGAGCTCGGCGTGTCAGCATTTTGCAAAACCCTAACTTAACTCTGGTGCCGTGTCACATATAGAAATTTTTTGATATTTGCAACCATAGTAAAACAAAGACTTATATTTTTGATATTTATTTTATATATTTAAATGCCATTTAACAAAGAAAAATCAACCAAAAAAATGAGTTCGCGTGTCATAGGTTCGCCATCAGTGCACTAGACCTTGCTCCTTCAGATTACCACTTGTTCCGATTGATGGCCCATGCACTTTCTGAGCAGCACTTCAAAACATACGAAAAAGTGGAAAATTGTGTCTCTGTATGGTTTGCCTCAAAACAAAAGTTCTATTGCAGGGGTCCTCAAACTTTTTAAACAGGGGGCCAGTTCACTGTCCCTCAGACCGTTGGAGGGCCGGACTATAGTTTAAAAAAAAACTATGAACAAATTCCTATGCACACTGCACATATCTTATTTTGAAGTAAAAAAACAAAATGGGAACAAATACAATATTTGTATTTGCATGTGGCCCGCGGGCCGTAGTTTGAGGACCCCTGTTCTATTGGGACGGTATCCACAAATTACCTGAAAGATGGGGGAAATGTGTAGCTAGCAATGGACATTACTTTGAATAAAGCACTTTTGATGTTTCTCTTGAAATTATCCTGTTTTCTTTGATTAGGAAATCCGCATTATTAACCAGTATCTCTGTTTTCCCCCTTTCAACTAGATCATTCTACTAGTACACTAATATGCCTTAGTATCAGGTACCTGAAAAGGGAACAGAATACTTCTTAACCTCTTTTCTCCAGCTTCTACTTAATTTTTTCTTTTGTTCCCTTTTATAGCAAAATTTCTCCAAACTGTCTAAACCTCCATCTTGACAAATCCAAAAGATAAATTCAGTTCTCATTTTAGCCTTTAGGTAGCATTTGACACACTTGACCACTTCCACATTTTTGAAACATTTTCTTTTCTAGGCTTCCAGAACATCTCACTTCCTGGTTTCCTCTTGCCTCATGGCATCTTCTCAGTCTACTTTATCTTTTTTCACTGTCTTATAAATATTAGAGTTGCTCACATTTTAGTCCCATTTTTTTTCCTATCTATACTTTCCCTAAACGGTTTTATCCAATCCCATGGCTTTAAATGTTGTCTTTATTTTGATGATCCCCAAATGTATAACTCCAATCCTAACTTTTTGAACACCAGACTGAATATTCTTTTTACATTATTATGGAAAACTTCAAGCGCACAAAAGTAAAAATAACATAATGAACCTACATAAGCCCATTACCCAGCATCATCTATTATTAAATTAATACATAAACACAATATTTTTAATATATGGTAGGGTGAGTACCTTTCCCCCCCAATTTTTTAGGTTGACATATTTGCAGACTTTTATTCCATTTCATTTTAGGTTTTGTTCAATTATTTTAAAATTTTGATTGGGATTGATTGTGCAGATTAATTTGGGAGGCTTTTATATCTTTACTAATGTATGAGTTTGCATTCAGTTGCAGGAAATGCATCTGGCTATTTTAAATATAGGGATTCAAAATAGGGAATTGGTGCTTAGAAATTTGTTTAAAGGGCTGTAGGAGTGCACTATTATCTCAGGATATTTGCTGTCTCCGGATAATAATGCAGAACTGGGCTAAGAGAGTTGCTACCATTGCCCCCATCCAGTAGGACAAGGTAGAATCAAGACCCCGTAACAGGTGTTACTGATGCTAAGAATACACTACTATAGCCCTGCTAGTATGGCTCAGTTTGTTGAGTGTCATCCCATGCACCAATAGGTCACAGGTTCCTGGTCAGGGCACATGACCCGGTTGCTGGCTTGATCCCCAGTGTGGGGCATGCAGGAGGCAGCTGATCAATGATTCTCCCTCTCCCTTCCTCTCTGAAATAAAAAATATATAGGAAAAAGAAAAACATTGATTTTTGACCACAAGGTGATCCAGCCATCAATTTTTTAAAAATATGTTTTTATTAATTTCAGAGAGAGGAAGGGAAGGAGAGAGGGAAACATAAATGATGAAAGAGAATCATTGATCAGCTGCCTCCTGCATGCCTCCTACTGGGGATCGATCCCAAAACCAATGTGCCCTAACCAGGAATTGAACTGTGACCTCCTGGTTCCTAGGTTCACACTCAACCACTGAGTCACACCGGCCAGGCAGCCATAAATTTAAAGAAAATAAAAGGGACAGAAAAATACGTTAAATTACTCCACAGAATGCAATCAATAAAATTCAGGTTATAGAAAGTGACAGGACAGTTAATTTGCTATTTCAACAAAGGAAGAGGAGAAAGGGGATTCTTTAGATAAAAAGATACGTAAGAGGTAAAGGGAAACGTAAAACAATCATAGGGTTGCAGGTTTAGGTAATACAGTTGAAAAAGAAGTGATTATCATAAATATCAGGATAGTAATTGTTCTTGGGAGGAGAAAGGGGATTATAATTGGGAGGAGACACCTGACAAATGGAAGGTTGCTAGCGTGGTGAGCAAGGATTTCTCTTCTGACCTGTATAGTGGTATGCGGTTTTCCATATTTGCTATTCGTAACAATGAAAGGTTTTTTTAAAAGCACACACCATCTATATATATAAAACCCTAATATGCAAATAGACCGAACGGCGGAACAACCGAACAACCGGTCGCTATGATGTGCGCTGACCATCAGGGGGCATGCGCGGAACATGGTGGGTGTGGGTAGCAGATGGCAGAGTGCGGAACATGGTGGGCATTGGCTGCGACTGGATGGTGGAGCAGGTGAGGGGGAGTGCCAGACCAAGGTGGAGCACTGGTTGCTGTCATCGGGGCGAACCTCTGGTGGTTACTGAAAATTCTTTGCTCCCATGCGCTGCGGTCCCACCCTGCACTCGCACGTGTTGCCAGCGCTGGCCCCACATGTGCCCGCTGCCGGCGGCTGCTGGCCCCAATCGCCCCTGAGGGCTTCTCTACCTCCCCCAGCTCCTGAGGGGCGATCGGGGCACCAGCCCCGCTCACACCTGCTGCTAGTGCCAGTCCCAATTGCTCCATGCTGTCAGCAGGTGCAAGCAGGGCCGGCGCTGTCAGCGCATGGGAGCAGC